TTGATTTACAGAATTCATTACTAAACGATTATTTAACTAAACTGTTATCTAGTTACTTAGGAATACCTACATTTTAAGACCTAATTAATAACAGATCAAAAATAGTAGTTTTCCTACGACCACTCAGGAAAGTGTCACATATCACACTATATAGTCCTATGGAAAGTGCCCTATTAACACGCGTATGAATAAGAATTTACTTTCCACCCGTGTACGAATATGCTACTTTCCGCAGCAGCTGTCACAAAATGTCAAACACATCATTTCTATTTTGATCTATGTAATGTCCATATTAATACTAAAATCGATATGATTGTTAAATCATTGAATTGTCGTAAGGCCTATTAGCTCAGATGGTTAGAGTGTCAAACTTATCAACTTTGCCATTTGAGACCTGTCGAGCGACCGCGTTCAAATCCTGGCGCTGCCAGAATTTTTTTTTTTTTATTTTTTTTTTTTGTTTTTTAATTTTTTTTATTTGTTTAGAAAATATGAAAATTGAATAAATACGATTACACAGGTCCACAAAAAAAAGTGGTCTGTGCTGGGTGTTCGACAAAGATTTTCCGACGTATTTTTTTACCGCTGAACACGGATCTGAAGTCAAAATTGGGGGGTCAAACTGCAAAAAACGGAGAAAAATTAAAAAAACCGATAAGATACATTTGATTTTATCGGTTATTTTAATTTTTCTCCGTTTTTTGCAGTTTGACCCTCAATTTTGACTTCAGATTCGTGTTCAGCGGTAAAAAATACGTCGGAAAATCTTTGTCGAACACCCAGCACAGACCACCTTTTTTTTTGTGGACCTGTGTTATTGTTGATTATTTTTTTAAATACATTTTAATTATTATAATAACCTGGTTTTACATTCTTTGAAGAAATTATTTTGTGGTCGTAGGAAAAATATTGTACATTACTTGTGTGAAAAGTGATTTTCCACACTCGTGTGATAGTCGCACTCGGCTTGTGCCTCGTGCGACAATATTTCCCACTCGTGTGAAAAATGTCACTTTCCACACTCGTAATGTAATATACTATTTCCTAAGACCACTTAGGAAAGTGACACATATCACACTATATAGTTCTATGGAAAGTGCCCTATATCACACGCGTATGAATAAGAATTTACTTTCCACCCGAGTGAGAATATATTACTTTCCGCAGTCAAAAATGTCAAACACCTAATTACTATTTTGATCTATGTAATGTCCATATTAATACTAAAATCGATATGATTGTTAAATTATTGAAATCGTTGTAAATTAGATCCTAGATATTTATCTTTTACAATTATTATTAAAATAATTTTAAAATAATGTTTGCTCTTTATTCTGGTCAAATACATAACCGATTAGATCATTCAATTGACACAAGGGCTATTAGCTCAGGTGGGTAGGAAGTCGAATTTATTAACTTTGCTATTTTTCGACCGCGTTCGAATCCTGGCGGGGCAGAATTTTTTTTTGTTTTTTTTTTTTTCTTTTTAGTTTTTTTTTGTTTAGAAAATATGAAAATTGAATAAATATGATTATTGTTGATTATTTTTTTAAATACATTTTAATTATTATAGTAATAATAACCTTGGTTTTACATTTTTTTGATGACATTATTTTGTGGTCGTAGGAAAAATATTGTACATCACTTGTGTGAAAAGTGATTTTCCACACTCGTAATGTAATATACTATTGTGCAACGAGAATGGATATGATTATATCTGAGTACGATACGGACAATCCACTCGAGTTGTATAGTATATTTTTTTCTACAACCCATTAACAAATTCCATCTAAAAAAATTTAAAAATAAATTTAGGTGTTAAGATAAAATAACGCTTTTAAAGATAATTAACAAAAATAAAAAAATATGAATTTTACTAATATACCTAAAAAACTAATAAAAAGAGTCCTTAGCCGGGATTTGAATACCGGTCCTTGGAACGGGAATGCTTTACTCCATTGGCGTAGTCAGAAATTGTTTATGGGAGGGGTTTCAGGAAACTATGGGGGGTTCCATCAACAAAGTGAAATATTTCAGATTATATTGTTTTTATAAAAAAAAGTAAATAAAAATAAAAATAAAAATAAATGCTATTTTTGTTATTATAAAAACATTTTCATTCCGTCAGTTTTCAAATATAAAATTATTTACTTCAAAGAAGTCAAAGTTCTACTCAAGTCGCCAGTTTCATTACATTGTTCCCTTACTTGAAGTGCGTCCATCTGTCATATCGTAAAATAGTGTTCATGTGGTCTCTACTTCAGTCTATCTCAATGTAAATTAGGGTTTCCGATCTCGATACGATCTTATCGAGAATCGATCTTTTGTTTCACGATTTCGATTTTTTAGGATCGATTTTTCAAAATAGAGATCGATCTATATATCGATGGAAAGTACTGAGATCGGAGATCGATTCTAGCCCACCTCTTACATGTACTTTTCGAGTATTTTGTGGTTACCATAAACGTCAAAAGAATAAATTCACTGATCGTTATCGCCGTTTTGAGTAATGTGAGAGTGTTTTGTGGATATTTGAGTATTCTCGTAAAGCGTAAATGTTACCTGAATGAACCTCTTTCGAATCTGAAGACAACAGATCCTATTAAATATTGGCATAGATAGTCAAATTATTTTCAACAATTTAAACAAAGTTGCTCAAAAGTCTTTATGTGTGTTAGGAACATCAATTCCATCCGAGAGACTATTTTTTCGAACAGGAAATCTGATTACTCCTGATAGAAAAAGTGGAAAAATGTCAAATAAACTCGTATTTTTGAATAGTTTTAAATCTTAGAATTTGAATATTAACAATTTTAAGTTCCAAACAATGTTTATATTTAAAATAAAGATTAAATTTTTTGTCTATTTTTTATTAATTAAATTTAATTTTATATTTTACATAAAAAGAATCGATCTTCGATCTTTACGAGATCGATATTTTTTCCTCCCGATTTTTCTTGTATCGATCTTTGGCTCCACCATTTGGATCGATACTAAGAATCGATCTTTCTTGCCGAGATCGGAAACCCTAATGTAAATATGGCCATAAGCATCAAAATTAGCCAATAAAAGCAAATTGACAATTTTTTGTTTCCACTTATGTGTAACTAAATTGAATGGGAATGGGGTTTTTTATATAAAAAATTGAGATTATAAGAATAACTGACTTTTTCCGTTGACTTCTGCCCGAAAAAAACAACTTACCTAGCGACCGTATTTCCTACGTCCCAAAAAGATTGTGACTCGCGAATGTTGCGAAACGGGATACCCGGGTTGCTCATTAGAAATGTGTCATATATTTATTGTCAAAATCCCTACATAAATATAAATAATAAGAATAAAACTACTCAAAGTCAATACCACAATATAATTTCATGTTTAAGATAAAACAGAGCAACTAGTTTCGACCTATGTGGCCATCATCAACCAATTATTCCACGGTTGAAGGATAAAGGGTATGTAACTGTCACCCTTCCGAGTTTTGACTTCTCGTTTTTCGTTGTTCACTATCAAAAATGTCGATTCAATTTATTTTCGGGACTGGGGCATTAACTTCCACCTAATCATAAACCACTCTACCGTTCGCAAGTTCATCTTCATATTGGTAGTAATGACTAGAAAATTGCAACATAAGACCGGTCTTCTGGAGGAGACCATTCCTCTTATGTATAGGAATCCTTTTAATCCAAAAACCTTTAAGTTTACTTGGGTTCTGCACTCCGCCATCCAGTTAACTTCGGTGGACTTCTTATTCCATTCTTATTTTCTTCAAGCTTCACATGTCTAATATACCATCTTACTTTGACCCAGTGTTGCCAGATGATCAAATTTAAAATACCTAGATTTGCATCAAAAATTTCCCTAGAACTTCCTAGAGGTTTATGAATGAAATGTATCTAGAAGTCCCTAGACGTTTACGAAATCAACAGTTATAATTTATTAAATGAAAATAAAAAAAGTCTTTTAAAAATATTTTAAAATGTTTTAATGAAACAAATAAACCTAGAAAATACATATAACGTTGAAAATACACATAAAAATACAAACAAATATTTTATAAAAATTAATTATCAATGGCGTACTTTTACATTATTTAAAAAAAAAATTATTTTGAATTTATTGCCTCAAATATTTGTTTTATTGAAAATCGCTAAGATTTCCATATTTCCCTAGAAATATAATTTGGCAAAAATCTCCCTACAACTAGAGACAATTCCCTAGATCTGGTATAACTGTATGACCCCGTACTATTGATCGAGGTGTGTTTCCAACACTTCTACTCATTAATCTGCTCTGTACCACTCCGATATCTACCACACTCATTACACTGCATTGTTAACTTTCCCACAATGATGCCAGAAAAACGGTATAGAATAAGCGATGATATTGATTAGACAGAGATAGAACAGTACGCGCCAGCTCACTAGCGGTAGAGGTGTATCCATAAGTTTAATCACGGCAGGCAGTCAGCCGATTCACGGAAGTCTCTATTTGTCTCATGTGTAAAAGTCTCATTTTTATTTCGAAAGATACATGGGCTAACATATTGTATAAGTTTTTCTCTAATTACTGGATACCCTTTGAGTACCGCCAATCCTTAACAGTTAGCAGATTTGTTATTTTTCTATATAAAAAAATTTTCATTTTGATATAATTTTCGATACTGTCGTTCCTTTTTGTATTAAACATTATATACCGTGTACTACTTAAAAAAAATTGTTGATAACAATCTTTACAAATCTTATCATACCACTGGGTGGATAATTTTGTGTATTTTTTAATTTTGATAACATTTCATGTTACGTAATAACACTTTGTAAATTTTAAACCTTCTGCCAACACCTAATTTTGTATTACAGACCTGATGATGGCCACATGCCGAAACAAGTTGCTCCGTTGTGTCTTAAACATTAATATATTGTGGTAATTTTATTCTTATGATAAACTTTCATTCTTTAAATATAATTATTATGAATTAATTTTGGTAATATTTGTTTCAGATGAAACTATAAACACTGGCACTAGCCCTCGCCAAAAGCATCTGAATGATACTCAAACTAAAATCGAACCCAGAGTCGAAGAAAGCGAGGAACACATACCAAAAATGACTGAAAACAACGTTCAAGAAAATGGGCAATGGATCATAGGTAAGTTCTTTTATTTTAAAACAATTATATTTTACCAGTGGCAAATCTTGGTGCATCTTGGTGCTAATTTTCAATTATACATTTCCAGGCAATTTTGCGAGTAGTACTGTAACATAATAATCAAAATGTTTTTAAGGAAAATTCAATTTAATACGGTTTATCCAAAGTAGGCATTCCAAACAAAATTGTTAGGCTGATTAATTTCAATATACAGCTGCTTTAAAAAGTTAGATCCTATAGAATTAATAACAATATTTTCTAATCACTCTTGGTCCATTCTCAGTGGCGGCTTGTAGTAATTTTAAAAAGGGTGTTCACTTTTTTTCCAATAATTTTATCGTTCGTAAGTTCGGTTCAAAACTTTGTACAAGCGCCAATATCACTGTTTTTTTTATTTGGTTTGCAAGCACTATAACTATTAATGAGTAATTTAATTATTGTAAAATTTGTTTAGTTTTAATACGATGAACCATTTATAAACATTATTAGTTATAGTCAGCTGACTTTTCTTCATATTTTGAGTTTATATTTAAATATATATCAGGTTATGTACAAAGCTTGACATTCATTTTTGTGTAAAAAATATTATTTGTAACTTTACCTACCGCTTTTCGGTTTTTATTGTAAATTTAATAATATTCACAATTTGTCACACATGTCAAATAAAATAATATATTTTTTAAATACTGTAATGTTTGTTTATTTTAAACAACAGTTTATTTGTTAATAATTTATTTAAACACATATTTATTTTATAACACTATTATTCTAATTTATATATATTTCGAATGTCTTAAAACCGTTGACTATTTATCTTCACTGTCCATATAATAACTGATACAGCGTTATTCTACACCAATATTTATATAGTAATTTAAAATTATGGTGAAGGTTCCAGAACGTTCTCGCCAAAAATTAGAAACACTATCACGTTATATTTGGAATAGACTAGAAATAGTATCCCGTTGACTCTGGAATGTTCGCGAAAGTACCTCCGCCATAGTCGTCACATAGGTTTGGTCTTAAGGGGTTTAATTATGTATAATAATCGGACAAGTTGAGCCTCAAAGGCCAAATAAGACAGAGAGGGACTTGGAGGGTTAGAGCATGACTGAATAATGAAATGGCTCACATAACATTGCCCCCTCCTTAAGAGATAGTTCCTCCTGAAACTCTTACGAAACTAAAATGGAATGGTTGTATCTGCAACTGAACCCTCTTTTACAATTTCCAGTTGCATGGAAGTAACAAGGGACTGTCTTCGCTGTAACCTGGGCACTGGGCGAATGGCTGCAGACCAGTATTTGAACTCCGGTATCTTGAAAGATTACTTCCACCATGTTCCTAATGATCCTCCAATCCAGCTGATTTCCTTCTATCTTCGGCATCGCTAGTTTCTGTACATTGGACTCCCGTACGTGCTCCCTTAGACTAAGTAATGCTTCCCATACATCCTGATAGGTGGATTGATCTCGGAAGGTGTTCTTCGTTATTAAATAGAAAAGATAACGCGACCCGTCTTGAAGTTTCAAGGCTTTTCCAGGGGCTGGTAACTGATATTGAAGTTCTTCCAGTCGACCAAACTTCTTACGGAACACATTTGCCAGTCCTCGCGCGTCGTTGATGCTGGCGGAAGTACTATGGACCAGCGAGTAGTCTTTCGGAAGCGAGAGCAGATCTTGTTGTTGCTCGGTCGTAACACCATATCTGACTTTTCCAGTACCTCCATATGCAGCCATAAATTCTTCAAAGACAAGGTCAGGTGTTTCTCGGAGTTGGTTTACTTCTTCTTCATGGTCACCCTGAAATGGCGCCAACCTATTTTGATGCACTACCTTTGGTTTACCGTTTGGGATCTTACTAATACGGTAAATTACATCATTTATTTTATTCTTTATGAGGTACGGACCTTCCCAAGACCTTTGAAACTTCGGAGAATAACCTTTTTGTCTTTTTGGGTTATGGAGCCAGACTTTTTCACCTTCCTTGAAACATCCCTCTGTAGCTTGAGTAACGTACCATTTCTTCATCCTGTCGCTGGCGATTTGGAGATGCGAGCGAACTAATTCATGCATGTCGTCCATTCTTCTTCGTAACTGGATCACATAATCTTCACCAGCTACGTCTTCTCCAGGTCGGCATCCAAACTCGAGGTCACACGGTAGTCTCATCTCACGCCCAAACAAGACCTTTGCTGGTGTTTGGCCTGTTGATTCATTGACAGCGGATCTATAAGCCATTGCAACGAGCGAAAGATACTGATCCCAATCTCGCTGATGGTTTGAAACCACTTTTGACAGATATTTGCCAATGGTCTTTTATTCATTCGCTCTACCATTCCATCGGATTGTGGGTGCAATGCTGTGGTTCTGGTCTTCTTCATGCCTAGTCTGTCACAGATTCCACGGAAAAGTTGACTTTCAAAATTTCTGCCTTTGTCACTGTGGATCTCCAAGGGCACTCCAAATCGACAGATAAACTCTTTTATCAATACATCTGCAACAGTTGCGGCCTCTTGATTTGGAATGGCATAGACTTCCACCCATTTTGTAAAATAATCCATAACCACCAAAATGTATTTATTACCATCCTCTGTCGCGGGGAATGGTCCAGCAATATCTAAGGCGATTTTCTCAAATGGGCTACCAACGTTGTATTGCTTCATGAGAGCCTTCCTTTTTCGTTGAGGTCCATTACTCATAGCACAGGTGGTACATTTCTTACACCAGTCCTTTACATCATCGGAACTGTTCATCCAGTAAAACCTTTCCCGAACTCTCTGAAGGGTTTTCCTAACACCGAGATGTCCTCCTGATGGACTGTCGTGTAACTGACGGAGTACTTCAGATACTCTACTTCTTGGAATGACCAACTGTTTTCTGTTCTCGGAACCATCATCATTTTCAAAAACTCGCTTTAATAAGCCATCTTCCAGAATAAAGGAGTTCCACTGAGTCAAATACGACTTACGTACTGGAGAGAGATTAGATACTTCTTGCCAAGTAGGTCGACGATTTTCCTCTTTCCATTCTCTTATCTTCTTTAAAACGGAATCGTTCTCTTGTTCTTCCCTAAGTTGTACAGGGGCCCTCATCGCTGACAACCGACGTTCTTCGTACTGTAACTTCTTTAACAGATGTGGCCAACCCCTTTCCAATCAGAGTTCCTTGACCAACACCTTCATTGCGCTTCGGAGGTTTCGCCATGACAGACGTTGCTTTCTCTACAGTTCCTTGCAACCGCCTTTCTCTTATGGTTTCACTACTTTCAGGCAACACCGTTCCTTCCTGTACAGCCACCGGCACGGTTTTTCGATTCGTAGTGTTCTTTGGGCGTTTGCGCGAACTGCTTACTTTTCCCATTTCACCGCAATTCCAGCACCTAATAGTCTTCGGTTGCTCCTCAATTAGGCTTTTTATCATGTGAAACAATTGGTCCAATTTATTTCCCTGTTCTTCTTCTTTTACAATCCTTACTTCACTGTATCCACCAGAAGCCAGCGTAGCCGCTTCATATTCAAGAGCAGCGGACAAGACATCGACCAATGTTTTGTGACGGGCTAAACGAAGTGTTCTTTGCATTTCATGGTCACGAAGTTCATCTACAAATGCTTTAACGGCCAAACATTCAATCATGTATTCCGGAGCTGATGGGTAGGCAAATCGCACCATCTTCGCAATATCTAATTCAAATTCTTGAAGAGTCGTCTCGTTTCTGTTTACGATTCGTTAATTGTGACTGGTATAAGTGCTCCAAGTGTTCGTGGCCATATCGCATATTAAGTCTCTTTTTGAGTTGCTCAAAATCATCGGTCTCTTCCACGGGTATAGTCTGAAGGACATCCAAAGCGTCTCCTCGAAGGGCGATGGTCAAATTTATTGCCTTCTCTCGTTCAGACCACTCGTTTGCTCTGGAAGCTGTTTCGAACTACTTAAGGTAGTTCGTCCAAGACATCTTCCCGTCAAAAGTTGGGGCTTTAACACGAGGAGAGTTTACAGCTCCTTCCAATTTCAACTTCGACTCCACCTCATGGCACTTTATTTCATCGTTCTTGGTTTGGTCTACGTGTTCCATTTCTTCTATCTTCTTTTCCATTTCTTTTATTTTCTTCTCTACAGAAGACATTTCATTTCTTATAGAAGAGATATCAGAAGATATTTCATTTTTCACGGAAGACATATCAGAAGACACCTTTTCTTCTAAGGAAGAAATATCAGACGAAACTTTATTTTCTAAAGAGTTAATGTCGGAAGAAACTTTAGTTTCTAATGAAGAAATGTCAGAAGAAACTTTACTTTTTAAGGAAGAAATGTCTGAAGAAACTTTAGTTTCTAAGGAGGAAATATCATTTTTAATAGAGGAAACATCAGAAGAAATATCGGTTTTTAAAGCAGACATATCGTTTTTCATATCGGAAATTGAAGAAATGATAGAGGACGCATCATCCGAAAATAGAAACGTTTCCGGATCCAAACCTTCACTTTCCAGTGCTTCTTTAAGCCTCTCTGCCAGTTCTGCTTTCTTCCCTGTAGTCTCAAGATCACGATCTTCTAATTCGCGACGCAATTCAGCCACTTTTAATTCACAGTTTTTTAGCCATTATTGTCCACTATTTATTTATACCATTCCACTTCTCTACACCAATGTGATGTTTGTTTATTTTAAACAACAGTTTATTTATTAATAATTTATTTAAACACCTATTTATTTTATAACACTATTATTCTAATTTATATATATTTCGAATGTCTTAAGTTGACTATTTATCTTCACTGTCCATATAATAACTGATACAGCGTTATTCTACACCAATATTTATATACTAATTTAAAATTATGGTGAAGGTTCCAGAACGTTCTCGCCAAAAATTAGAAACACTATCACGTTATATTTGGAATAGACTAGAGAGTATCCCGTTGACTCTGGAATGTTCGCGAAAGTACCTCCGCCATAGTCGTCACATAGATTTGGTCTTAAGGGGTTTAATTATGTATAATAATCGGACAAGTTGAGCCTCAAAGGCCAAATAAGACAGAGATGAACTTGGAGGGTTAGAGCTTGACTGAATAATGAAATGGCTCACATAACACCTTTTATTGGCAAATAAACCAAGTGAACTAAATTGTTTATTTTATAAGATCAGTCCCATCACAATACATAACATTACCCAGATACAAACTAGAATGAAGATATACAATGTGTGGCATTCTAAATAATTATACTCTTCACAGTTTAACAAACCTCCCTTACCTCCCATTTTCAATCAGATTTTTTTTTCAATATGCTTCATCCCCTTATTGAGCATGATTTTTACTAAAAATTTCATGTTGATTTCGCTTTTCATTATTGATTTATGATTTATTTTTTAATTTCAACCCCCTTAAACCCTCATTTTCAATCAGATTTTTTAAACAAACTCACAGGGCTTCTTCTCCTTATAGAGCTTAATGTTTGCTAAAAATTTCATGTTGATATGGTGATACATTAGTTGCTTTTCAAGCATTTTAGATTGTTTTGGATTAGAGTTCAGATTTATCTGATACAGCCCAGTTAGCTATTTTTATACGAGGTGTTGATGAAGAAGTTGCAGAGACAAAGGAATTACTGGCCGCTACAAGTTACCACTACTGGAAAAGATATTTTTGCCGAGGTGCAAGTATTTTTGAGCACTTTTGTGAAGTTAGCGCCCGGCGCTGGCGCCCAAACTCAGCGCTCTATCCCCTCCTCCTCACCAAGTTCACACAACTAAAATTATTAATACTTTTTAAAAATACATTATTATTACATTTATCTATTTTGTTTGTAAATTTATAGGAAAGTAATGTATATAATTCGATTTTTGATTAAAGGGTGTGGTTTGTAAAGTTTATATTAGATAGAGGTATACAGTGTGTCTACTTAAGTTGGAACCATATGGAAAACATTTTTATTATTGATTTTAGGAAAAAAAGTTATTCTTGATAAAAAGTCCTGCATGACCCAAAACCTAAAATACAGTCATCACATATCAAAATTTTCAAGCCGTATACGAGGTTTGTCAAAAAATATGAATTTTGCTCTAGAGTAAAGTACGTTTATTTTTGACAAAATCGAACATTTTCATTAAGAAAAGTTGATTAGAATTTAATATTACATTCAAATATGCAATTACACCGATCTATCTGAAAAAACAGATTTTCTTAGTTTTTATAAACTCAACACTACACATTGATTGTAAATATCTGAAAACGTTATAAATTACGTTAGCTACTATAAACATGATACGCTTTCCTTTTGTTGATGTTTGTGAAGAATTTAGCAAATTTCTTAATGAAAATTTTCGATTTTGTCAAAAATAAACGTACTTTACTCTAGAGCAAAATTCATATTTTTTGACAAACCTCGTATACGGCTTGAAAAATTTGATATGTGATGACTGTATTTTAGGTTTTGGGTCATGCAGGACTTTTTATCAAGAATAACTTTTTTTCCTAAAATCAATAATAAAAATGTTTTCCATATGGTTCCAACTTAAGTAGACACACTGTATATTTAAAAATTTTCCCTATGACAGATAGCGAATAATGGAAAAAAAGTGCTATATAAGATCTGGGTTTACTGAAAAATTAGATGTCTAAAACCACTGACGTCTTATCAAAAAACCACCCTTTATAAAAATATAATAATCCCAACTTGTTATCTCATTTTTAACTGCGTTAAATATTGATTTTTTAAATAGCGGTCTGATTGCTATCCCTGCCGAGGGTGCTAAGCGATTTTGCTTTTGGCCAGTAACTGCTTGCATTAAAAGGTATACTTGGTATTAATCCCAACTTGATATCTCATTTTTAACTGCGTCAAATATTATTTTTTTTTAAATAGGGATGTGATTGCTACCCCTTCCGAGGGTGCTAAGTGAGTCTGCTAAGTGAGTCTGCTTTTGGCCATTAACTGCTTGCATTAAAAGGTATACTTGGTATTAATCCCAACTTGATATCTCATTCTTAACTGCGTCAAATATTGAGTTTTTAAAATAGAGGTGTGATTGCTACCCCTTCCGAGGATGCAAAGTGGTTTTGCTTTTGGCTCGTAACTGCTTGCATTAGAAGGTATACTTGGTATTAATCCCAACTTGATATCTCATTTTTAACTGCGTCAAATATTGATTTTTTGAAATAGGGGTGTGATTGCTATCCGTTCCGAGGGTGCTAAGCGATTCTGCTTTTGGTCAGTAACTGCTTGCATTAAAAGGTATACTTGGTATTAATCCCAACATAATATTTAATTTTTAACTGCGTTAAATATTGATTTTTTTGAAATAGGAGTCTGATTGCTACCTCTGCCGAGGGTGCTAAGCGATTTTGCTTTTGGCCAGTAACTGCTTGCATTAAAAAGTAAACTTGGTGTTAATCCCAACTTGATATATCATTTTTAACTGCGTCAAATATTGTTTTTCTGAAATAGGGGTGTGATTGCTATCCGTTCCGAGGTTGCTAACCATTTCTGCATTTGGACAGTAACTGCTTGCAATAAAAGGTATACTTGGTATTAATCCTAACTTGATATCTCATTTTTAACTGCGTCAAATATTGATTTTTTGAAATAGGGGTGTGATTGCTATCCGTTCCGAGGGTGCTACGCGATTCTGCTTTTGGTCAGTAACTGCTTGCATTAAAAGGTATACTTGGTATTAATCCCAACTTGATATCTCATTTTTAACTGCGTCAAATATTGATTTTTTGAAATAGGGTTGTGATTGCTACCCCTTCCGAGGGCGCTAAGTGGTTTTGCTTTTGGCCCGTAACTGCTTGCATTAAAAGGTATACTTGGTAGTAATCCCAACTTGATATTTTATTTTTAACTGCGTTAAATATTATTTTTTTGAAATAGGGGTGTGATTGCTATCCGTTCCGAGGTTGCTAACCATTTCTGCATTTGGCCAGTAACTGCTTGCAATAAAAGGTATACTTGGTATTAATCCTAACTTGATATCTCATTTTTAACTGCGTTAAATATTGATTTTTTGAAATAGGGGTGTGATTGCTATCCGTTCCGAGGGTGCTAAGCGATTCTGCTTTTGGCCAGTAACTGCTTGCATTAAAAGGTATACTTTATATTAATCCCAACTTGATGTCTCATTTTTAACAGCGTCAAATATTGATTTTTTTGAAATAGGGGTCTGATTGCTACCCCTTCCGAGGGTGCTAAGTGATTCTGCTTTTGGCCGGTAATTGCTTGCAATAAGAGGTAGACTTGGTATTAATCCCAATTTGATATATCATTTTTAACCGTCAAATATTGTTTTTCCTAAATAGGAGTGTGATTACTACCCCTTGCGAGGGCGCTAAGTGATGCTCCTTATGGCCAGTAAGTGTTTGTATTAAAAAGTATACTTGTCATTAATCCCAACTTGATATCTCATTTTTAACTAGAATAAATATTTTTTTTTTTTTCGAAATTGGGGTGTGACTGCTATCCCTTAGGAGGGCGCTAAGTGATTATGCTTTTAGCCAGTAACTATTTGTATTAAAACTTATACTTGGTATCAATTCTACTTTGATATCTTATTTTTAATAATATGAATATTAAGAATTTTCATTATGAAAGTGTTATTTTTCATGTATTTATTTATATAAGGAAAATAACATTTAAAATACAAGCGACCTTAGTTTTCAATTAACACATAAAACTGAAATAAACATACGTATTGCTCTTTTTAACGGGTCACTCTATTGTTCGGGCGTATAGAGAAAGTAAAAGTTGAAAAGTCTTTTGGTAGGTAGAGAGGGGGTAAACGTCAAACCACGTCGGGCGGCTTCGAGAATTTCACAGTAATGTTTACCTGCCAGTGTCGTTTCATAGAATAAGTAATTTTAAATTGTTATCGGCGGAACCGGACAATCGCATGTATTTATGGATTATAAATAATTATTAAACATGTATTATAATATTCAAATTATAATTTTACAAAATTTCAACAGCTATTCACAATTTATTAAACTATTTACTCGAAATTGTTATTAACATCTATAAAATAATTTTGTACGCCAATGTATCGCGTCCACTTCGGTGAGATCCGCTGCCAACCTGTCAATTTATTTGTATAAAGTGGGAGATCTGGCAAAAGCATTTCCAACTTTTACTTATGTTCTACTCGGTAAACGGGCTACCAGTTTTTGGCTACTAACTTCACACCGGTGTCTTCCTACGCTCTTTACAAGAATGGACAAGCGCTTCTACTTCACGTACGCGCGTAGGTGGCATGTATATGCTTAGAATATAAAAGTTCAAAGTTTATTGCCACCACAAAGCGAATATCCTACTAACTTAGTCAAAATCATCTTTATGTGTGGGTTACTCCATTAATGAAAAATCAAAATTAAAGTTGCGATCTGTCTGAATGAGAATGACTATCGTGGATCCCCCTTTATATCTCACAGACCCCAATTTTTTTCACTCGCATGGACTTCTTGTAGGTTATATAGATCACTCTGGGTATCATCTGTCGAATCTATTGTTTTTTTTTGTAATAATAGGAATTTAATTTGTAAATGTTAAAAGGTCATGGTTTCATTAGGGTACAGGCTTTTTATTTTTCTATGGGGTACAGGTATATTAAGTGTGTTAAATTTATTTTTATGTATTGTTTGTTTATACATGGTTCTCCTGTTTTCCATTATTAATTATATACAGTGCTGGCAAGATCAAACCTTCGGTTTTGCTTTGCTTGTGTTGGAGTAAACAATAAATGGCGTTAACATGTGCAGGAAGGAAAGAATATGGTATCTACGTTGCCACTTACAGGTCAGTAACGGCCTATGCATGGCAACATTGAGTTTCTTTTTCTGTACGTACGAGCGCTATTTTCTATTCACTCCAACACAAGCAAAGCAAAATCGAAGCACTACATATAGTTTGGATAACATTTGAACAAGCAATCCAGGAATAAAAAAACAAATGCTTTTCTTTATTTTCCAATAAATAAATGTTTTTTGGGTTTAGGAGACGAAGAACGGGAAGAAAAAGAAGATGTCTTCTTACAAAACGACGAACTCGACAGTCCCCCTCCTGCTGCCCCATCCGATGGCAAAGGGGGTTATTCGAGCTCCGGCTGGAGTGCCGCAGCTAAAGCAGAATTGTTGGAAAAAAGAAAAACACTTAAGTAAGTGAAAATCAATTTTATCATTATTTTCCGATAAACAAAAAGTATTAAAAGCCGAATTGAACAAAGATCAGTTTGCGTTTTGAGTCCGTTACTAGTGATTGTGATACATGAAGCCATAAAAAAGATTAGAATAAAAAAACAAGAAAATATCAAATTAATACCATCGATGTTTCCCTCCGGAAAAGAAATTCTCCCTGGGCTAATAGCACAACAGGTATTGCATTAAAATCAAAGAAAAACAGCAGCATAAGAAAATTATGTTCAACACTGTAGCTTTCATTTTGCTTACTAAGGAGAAAGTCATTCTTGGATTGATTTCGTCCTTATTCCTTATTAGAACCATAGATAAATTAATAATATTAATTTATCTATGATTAGAACCAGACAGCAATAAATAGACTTTCTCGATTTCAATCTCTTATGCAACCATTGCAACCTCTAAATTCGTAAAAATCACTCGTATATCCTGGATAGCTATTTACTAAGTCATGGGAGTGTTCGCATATATTTTGCTCTCTTACTCTTAAGTGGATATATCGTGCTTACTCACTTTTAGCCCAGGTACCTACATGCATAGTTAGGTCGGAGTAAGCACGATATACCCACCTAAGAGTAAGAGAGCAAAATATATGGGAACACTCCCATGGGAGCGCTCCCATGACTTAGTGAATAGCTACCCTGATGTAGTTTGAGTGAAATTAAGAAGTCACAAAGTAGCGCCATCTACACTTAATAAACAAAATCATAATTAGTTTGTAATACCCAGTTTTTTTTTGAACCCTAGTTTTTCTAGGTGGAATAAAAGCGAGACGGACAATTTTTAAAAAGTTAAATAGTTGTTTTCTGGATACAAACCGTCGCTCGTATTATTTTGTGACATAGCTTCGAGATTTTTTTTGTTTTTCTTTAGTTTGCGTCTTGGTCACATTTAAGTTTGGAATTATTTTTTTTTAAAGATCATAATATTAAAATAGGGACATTAGAAAATTGAACAAATCTAGATAAACGGAAGGATTGAACGGTATCATCATAGTGATCATAAATTATTGAACACGCGAAAATTTTCATTTAATTTCTCCTTAGTTTTATTAGCACGCCACTTTCGCATTTATCGTTTAATAATTTTAAAATTCTAGAAAATACTCGGTAATATCCTCACGATTACAAAAACCGATTTACGTCAGAATTGTGGTCCTATATCGTAATTTACAATACACATTACCTTTAAATATTTCCTGTATAATTTTTATTTGTAAACAGGTTATTTGTTTGTTGTCTATAATTTAATAATTTGCTTAAAGTGACATACAAAAGTCTTTTATTAATAATGTTTACACTCAAGGTTTGAACACTTAAATTCAAATAAATATCGTGTAGTTTAGTATTAAAACTCTGTTTTAACATATTGATTGATGTTATAAACATAGTCTTAACAAAACTTGTTAAAACATAAATTTTTATTATTGAAATTTTTGCAACCTGGTGAAAGATGACTTGGTTGTTAAAATATTTGTAAGAGAGATACGTATGAAGCTAGCAGAGCACCTTTAGATTTTTCACATTCTGAGTATGCCATAATTTTAGGCTCATTTTAGGCTAATTTTATACCAACATAAAAAAATTCCGCTCCTTTCTTTAACAGAAAAATTAAGTGCTCTGCTAGCTTGATATCAAGCTAGCAGAGCACATTTGGATTTTTTAAATTTTAATTACGTCATAATTTTAGGCTAATTTTATACCAACATAAAAATGTTCCGCTCTTTTCTTTATAGAAAAAATTAGGTACTCTGTTGGCTTTACAAGAGACATTTATTGAGTTTTTCATTAAAAAATTCAGCAATGTAAAAATAGATAACGGTATAATTTTAGGATCATTTTAGGCTAATTCCATACCAACATAAAAATTTTCCACTCTGGCCTTAATCGGATAAATTGGGTTCGTTAGCTTAAAAATACGAATTTAAAGTGTTTTTGGTTAATAAAATTGAGGAAAATAGAAAATGAACAAGGCATAATTTTAATATAGGCTAATTTAATACCAACATAAAAAAAAATTCGGTCTTGCCTTTATTCGAAAAATTAGCTTGACAATACGACTTTATAGAGTTTTCGATAAAAAATTGAAATGTATAAAAAATAGAAACTTTATAATTTTTTCCTACCAACCAACCAACCAAATTAGGTACTCTATTGGCTTAAAATGAGCCTAAAATTATGTCGTGTCTACTTTTTAGTTTGCTCAATTTTATTAACGAAAAACTCTATAAAGTCGTATTGTCAAGCTAGGTCATCTAATTTTTCGGATCATTTTTTACATTGCTAAATTTTTTAATGAAAATCGCAATAAGTGCCTGTTGTTAAGCCAACAAAGTACCTAATTTTTATGAAGAAAAGAGCGGAAAAAATTTTAGATTGGTATAAAATTAGCATAAAATTATGACCTAATTCGAGAGACGCTAAAATGGTGGTTCCCACCTTATCGAGACTGAGGCCCACAAGGGTAAACTCGTAGCGTAACAAAAACGAGAAATTATTTAACTTGGAACGAAATATAGAAAGCCGATAGTAGTACCTATTAGCACGTTGAATTTTTTGGTTTGTGAAGCATTGGCAATGACCGGTTAATTAGCTTAGTTCGCGGTAACAATCCTGAACTGATTCAGAATTAGTAATTCATACTTTGAGCGCATGCCCGAATCATTATCAATTCTGAATTTTTACCGCGCGCGCAATCCCTATTATATCTCTGTGTTTCAGGTATAGACAAGCGGTTCAAAACCAATTATAATTTTACCGCGAACGCAGGATAGAACCAATAGTTCAGTTCTTTTTGTTCCGCGAACTCTTTTTACCTACTGCTTCTGCGAAATCGTTACTATTAGTAATAATTTGGTTCAGGATTCTTACCGCGAACAAAGCTATTATTCTATGGGGTTGCGACAGAGAAATTTGATGAAGGTGTTTTTGTGGCTAGGGGCGAAATAGTAGTACGCTTAATAGCACCACCATAAAAAGTCATTTTTAAGAAACTGCTTATATATTTTTCATAAATTGGCAGGCTATATGGTTGCAAGTATGAAGGTCGCAACCCGCCTTAGAAATTTCACCTTTACTATCAACAGCTGTTGTTTGACAGGTCGTTAGAGAATATTTGCAATTTATGGAATGTGAAGAATGTTAGGAATTTTGACGTCAGAAATAATTGAAATTCCTAAAATTGTTCACATAAGGAATGCATAGGCGGATTTTAAGAAAATTGTTATTAAAGTAGTTTGGATGAACCGAAATTTCTGAAAATCAATAGGGTTCTAAGTTAGAAGTAATTATTCAAGAAAATCAAAACCGCAAGTCAATCAGAACTTTCGTTCTAGAGTTATCGTGCCGGGGGTAGAATTCTCGAGTCTCGCATGAAAATTGTCGCACACGGCAAATGTCGCATACCAAATTCGCATGGTTGTTAAAAATCGTATTCTCGAAAATGAGTGAATCTAAAATCACAAGCGAGAAATAATGCGAAGGATTGGATCTGGCAACGTAGGAAATTATGTCAACTGTCAACATTAGAGGGTGTTCTGTGCTCTGCTTTTTATTTTTCTATGGTGCTCTGTTTATTTATTAGAACCACGTGCTTTGTGATTAGAACTCCTCTATGCTAAGAACTTTAGACAGTTTTGAAGCAGATATCAGAATTATTTAAACAGCGATTTTTTTATATATAAATATGGAAGAGCACAATGCAAATCAGAAAACTAAATATTAAAATATGTCACGAAAACATCCTGCTGATACTCTACTTGGAGGCCTTATAACATGCTAGTTGCAATATATCGACAGTCGCGTTGATTCGTTAAAAAATCGAAAATGCTTGATAAATAACACTATATAACACATCGTTAATTCTAAAGGGATTTTTATAAATAAACTACTTTCTTCTATGCTGTCGCACTCTTTAATAATGTTTTGATTTTCAACAGCCACCAAATGTTAATTTCATCAAAATCTGCCTCATCCATGTTTACGGTCCACAAAAGTCGCATACGAATTTAAATTCGAGCACTTTAGACCACTCGTGTTGAATTCACCTGACATTTGTCGTATATATACTGTTTTCGAGAATATACTTTTTCAAAATCACCTAGTTGCTATTCGACATTTCACTATAATCTCGCATGCGAATCGAGGTATTCGACATTCGAGAATACTACCCCGGCATACATACATACATACAGACGACCAGACGAACAATTTTTTTTTTGGATTTTCGGATTCAGAATGATCAGAAACATGAAAAAAAGTTTTAAAAAATGGGGGTCAGAAAATTTTTTCGTCTGCACGAATGTAAAATTGAGGCCCCATAGGATAAGGGCCTCAGTAATTTGAAAAATCCAAAGTTGCTCTGCTAGCTTTATATCAAGCTAGCAGAGCACATTTCCTATAAAGAAAGAAGCCCAAAATTTTATATGTGGGTTCAAAATTAGCCTAAAATTATGACGTATTCACTTTTGAGTTATTTCAATTTTTTAACGAAAAAATTCTATAAAGCCGTATTGTCAAGCTAGAGCATCTAATTTTTCAGATAAAGGCCAGGGTGGAAATGTTTTTATGTTGGTATAGAAGTAGTTTAAAATGAGTCTAAAATTATGTCGTTTTCATTTTTTAGATTGCTAAATTTTCTTATGAAAAACGCAATACGTGCCTGTTATATTAAGCCAACAGAGTACCTAATTTTTTTTTTTTTTCTATAAAGAAAGGAGCGGAAATTTATTTAGGTTGATACAAAAATTAGCCCAAAATTAGCCTAAAATTGGTCTAAAATTTGCCTAAAATTATGACGTAATAAAAATTTGAAAAATCCAAAGGTGCTCTGCTAGCATGATATCAAGCTAGCAGAGCACTTAATATTTCCTATAAAGAAAGAAGCGGACATTTTTTTGTGTTGGTACAAAATTAGCCTTAAATGAGCCTAAAATTATGACGTAAGTACCCATTTTTGAGTT